CGCCTGTCAATCTCCCATTCCATCCTTCCCTCACTCGTGAACAAGACCCCAAGATACTTGAACTCCTCCACTTGAGGCAGGAGCTCTCCGCCAACCTGAAGGGAACATGCCACCCTTTTCCGACTGAGAACCATGGCCTCGGACTTGGAGGTGTTGATTCTCATCCCAGCTGCTTCACACTCGGCTGCAAACCGCCCCACTGCATGCTGGAGGTCCTGGTTTGATGAGCCAACAGGACAACATCATCTGCAAAAAGCAGAGACGAGATCCTGTGGTCCTTGAACCAGACTCCCTCCAGGCCCTGGCTGCGCCTAGAAATTCTGTCCATAAAAATTATGAACAGAACCAGTGACAAAGGGCAGCCCTGCCACGGGTCCAACATGCACCGTCCAACATGCATTCCCTAGTCCCTAGTATAACTCCAGTCATAGCCCTAAACTAAACCTGATCCGAACCCAAACCGCAATACCAAGTCTTAGACAGCCCTTTCAAGGTGCGACGACCAGCTAAAATGTCATCAGAACATCAAAATGTTGTCACAACAGTGGCATCAAAAAGAATTTTTCCCACAGATTTTCTGCTCTCTCAGAATTGGGGAAACTCTTCAATGCTGATCAGTGAAAACATGACAGGAGTAAAGAGCTGTGTCCAGTTCAGTTGTACATGATACATTCACATTATGGAAAATGAAATAGATGCACAGTTATGCACTCATTTGTTCACTTGTCCATTACAAACATTCAGTTTGTTTTTAACCTCTGGGGAAGACACTGTTAAACTCCTACACCACACAGTGTCGGCCTGTTAAATATTCAGCTATAGTTCAACTTTGACGTGATGGCTTTAAGAACTTTTAACTATTCCAAATGTGCATGTATAACATTAATTATGAAGATACTGTATATCTAGCTGCTATTTTCTTATGGAAATATGAACATATTTAAATAATAACTCTTTTACATAGCGGACTGAACCGGCTGACAAAACTAGGTGGCTGACAAACAATCCATTTAGACTGAGGAGTAGATAAGGCTCAGTATTCAGCTTGCAAGATCCGACATTTGATCAAATTGTTCAGTTTTGAAACACAACATATACACTCTGTTTGTCAAACTACACAATGTTGTACATAGCATGATGTCCTCACCAGCATGAGGAGTAGTGCCTGGTGTTCTCCAGATACAGTGCTGATATTCTGTCCAAAGAGTTCTGTTTTTTCTCATCAGACCAGAGTATCTTTTTCCTCTTGCTGAGTCTTTTAAATGGTGCCTGACAAACTTCAAGCTGCTGTCATCTGTCTTTTACTTAAAGTGGCTTATGTCTAATCACTCTACCATAAAGGTCTGATTGATTCTCCAGAGGACTTCTGATGTTCTGTCAGTGACCACTCAGTTCTTGTTCTCTTCCTGAGGATGGTTTGTAGGAAGGGTCCTGGTGGCTCCAGACTTCTTCCATCTTGCAGTCAATGAGGCCACTGTACTGCTGGGAACACTCAGAGCTTTAAAGATGGTTTATACCCTTGCCCTAATCTATGCTTCGCCACTGTTTTATCACAGACATCTACAGAGAGCTCCTTGGACTTCATGTCCTGGTATTTGTCCTGACATGCAGTGTGAATTATGGGACCTTACACACAGGTGTAGATGTGTCCTTCTAAATAATCTCCAGTCAGTTCACTGTGCCACAGGTGGACTCCACTCTAGTTCTAAACATATCTCAGGCATAATTAAAGCAAACGGGGCACACCTGACCACAGCAAAGGGTCTGAATACTTTTGTAAATGTAATTAACATTGCAAACATTTCTAAACATGTTTTTTTCTAGGTTTATAGTTTAGATGTGATGGGCAAAGTTTATACATGAAAAATTTTAAATACATTGCAATGAAGAATTCTCTACCTGTATATGAATAAAGGATTGGCCGTTGCCTTTAATTGATCATTTGATCAAAAAGTGTTTTCCTGAAATTGTGTTGGATGATGATGGATGATGCTTTAGTCACTTTGTCTACTGTCTGTTTGCTTTAGATTTAAACGGCACTACAGATTCTTAGAAATTTACTCATGTTTTATGCTTCATTAGCTTAGACATTCTTTAATTTTTAAATCTATATTCAGATTTAGTAGTTTAAGATTAACTATTAAGAGCTTAGAAAAGATTTTATAGACACTCCTTGGAGCTGTGTTGGTAAAGATCTTTGGACCAAAAAAAAGGAGTGAACTGGTTTCTGCAAAATATTTATTTGATCCAATTGTCATGAAAATACTGTTTACATGTACAATACACATAGTTAGGTAATCCTAATAAAAATGACCGTGCAGTTTTGAATGTACAGACCTTTAACCTCCTCTCTCCTGATCTGTTCCCCTCTGAACATTATTTTCCATCCCTAATCCCTCTGTAAGGATGACCAAACACTTAATGGCTAGATTTTTTTCAGTGTCATAATCTGTTTTTTTTTGTTTGTTTGTTTGTTTGTTTTGTTTTTTGTGCTTGCAAAGTTCGCTGGTCGGTGCTTCACTCAGCGTATCCACAGCCAGACTGAAAACTTGACATTTGGTGTTCAGCATCAAAGTAGCTGTCAGTAATCAACTCCTGACAAATGATCCTCACCAGGCTGACCAACAGCATAAATGTGCTGGACAATAGTATTTTTCATGTAGGCCTTGTGTACATAATCATAACAGAATCAGAAAAAAAAAAGTGTGTGGAAATTACGCTGAGAAAACAGACCTGGACCATAAAAGAGGTGATGTGCGGCTCACGCACGTCGGAGAGAAATTTCAATCTGTTGCATGAAAAATGCATCTAAACACACACTCTGTCTGAATTGGCATTAACTGAACCTGTGTAAGTGTCTCGACCTGTTTTACAGGCTTCACGCATGAGTCACTGACGCACTTGATTTGATTTGATTTGATTT